TCATTCACCCATCCACCCCCTCACTCACTCACTCACTCACTCACCCACTCACTCACTCACTCACTCACTCACCCACCCACCCACCCACTCACTCACCACTCAACACCCACACACTCACTCACTCACCAAAACACCCACTCACTCACTCACCAAAACACCCACACACTCACTCACTCACTCACCAAAACACCCACACACTCACCACAACACCCGCACTCTCACTCACTCACCAAAACACCCACACACTCACTCACTCACTCACCAACCAAAACCCCCACCCACTCACTCACCCACTGACTCACAGTTCCCTGCTCTCGCCGTCGTATACAGTGAGTGATCATTCACTCACTCACTTACTCACTAACTCGAACTCACTCTCTCTCTCAGTCACTCACAGATCCCTGCACGTGACTCACCGTCGTATACAGCGATGTAGTCCTGAACACAGTTCTCCGATTTGCTGATGTTTACAACGTTGATGATTAGCTTGACGCGATCGTCGGAAGAAGTAAGAAGCCACCTGCAGTTCATCTTGCTGAATAATGATTAGAGCAACGGGCAATGATAACCATAAGATATGGGTCGATGGTCGACTCTACATATACTTTTCAGCAACCCAGTGTAATGTCTTAGATATGACATTTACATGAACCACAATCCTGTGTACATATATATGTACGTGTATGCACTGTTGTTATAAAATGGATGGAAATGTAACGAAAAGTGGAGAAAAAAAAGAAAAAAAAAGAAAAGTTGGTGAGGTCTGAATACACAGTTGATGATAGGTGCGATGTGGAACTGGCAAAAACAACCACAACGAAAAGCGTGTGGGGTCAGTAGGCGATATATCAACTGTCTGCTTGCTCAAACACGTTATTGGTTGAGAGTTTCGCAATTGCCTCTCCTTCCATACGTCAATAAATAACAGTTTACATCCCTAGAGCAAGTTTTAAGCATAAAATAAAGAAAAAAAACCATGGCAGGTGAATGTGTTTTCTTCACAGTGGGAACAAATTTAAAGTTAATTTCATATTTGGTCTCAATTTCGAAGACTTACCATTTTACAAAATGCATTTCAAAGTTTAAATATGGTGCTTTTTCAAATAAATATGTATCGTTTAGCTAAACACGTTTCCTTTCTAGGTACAACGCAAAACCAAAACTATACCAGAATGACCTTACAGTAATGTAAGATAATGATGCTATTTTGTATTATTAACAACTGGATCGATGCTCATGCTGTTGAACATTGCATTGTCTAGACTCGATTATTTACAGACCGCCGCCATATAGCTGGAATATTGCTGAGTGCGGCGTAAAACTAAACTCACTCACTATTAACAACTGATGCTAACGGAGTAGACACAAGTAAATAGTGTAGCTGCTACGATGTAGAAAATAACATCATAATAGTTGACTTCGTCAATGTTTTGTCATAACGAATCAAATGACAAAAATCATACCCGTTAACAAGGCTCGACACGCCTTTCAAAGAGGGTGGTGTAACGGCTCTCTTAAAAATGTCCGTATTTGGTGTGAGCACCATTTGCATTGATTCAGGCCCACATTGAAGACACCAGATGAAGGAGTTCCACATGTCAGCCAATGAGCAGGCGACACCGACTGGTTCTGCTCCTGTCGGTTATGAGGTCTTTGTCCATCACATACCAAACATGGTCTATGAGAAAGAGATGTGGAGAAACAGTCGGCTATGAACGTACAACAGACGTATGCAGCCTAAAAATGTCTGCTTCAACACGTGCAACGTGTAGGCAAGCATTATTGTTACGTTAAGTAGATGCATCTGCACATGATCACTAACGATATCGTAGCGTACGTCTTTCACATTGCCATGAACAATAATGGGTTCCGATGGGTCCTATGAGTTGATATGACACTATATACCATTACATTTCCTTCTCCATACTGACAACAAGGGGTAACACTATAACGTTCTCCCTGACGCCTGTAGACTATTGCGCGACCACCAGAGCTGCCCAGTTAAACGTCGGACTCATATTAGAACAGTATACTACTCCAGCCCCGTCTCGTACACTTCAGCTGCTGTTTACAGTGAGACAGGTGGGCCGGACAAGACTGACGCATCGCTGAACATCGGGACCGGATCTTGTGCTCCTTCATCCGGTTGCCTTTAGTCATGCTACTATTTTGCAGCAACAGAGGAACTGACCGAGCTGTTAACGTGACAGTTAAGTATTGACTCCGTAGATGCACCAACGATTATGGTTGCCTTGTTCCGTGACGTCACACGTGAACGGCTGCCAGTAGCAAGTAATTAGGAATGATTTCTGCCGATAACGTCTCCAGATATAAATGTATATCAATGTACAGTTACGTACCTCTCCTTTTGCTATTGAATTCTTTCTGCAGCAAACAGACTGCGCGTTGTCATTGGTTTTCGAAACCGTCATTACGGTCAAACAAAAGTGTTTGTGTTGACATCCGATAGCTGCTCAATTATCAGATGCTGATCACATCCAACAGCCACGTGCAAATTGCGAATCACGACCTTAAGGTCGAGAGAGCTTTCATGAATGTAGAGAAATGTGCATCATTTGAGTAAGGCATATTTATTTTCTTATAGGTATATATTGAGTTATATGTACTTATATCCGTTAGCGTGTATAGAAAGCTAGTCTATTAGCTACATATGTTAAAGGAAATTGCTTCAAACTTACTCAAAGTACTGTGATGAATAGGCAGGCGAGTAGATAGAAGAAGTGGAATAATCGGCTGTTAGCTCAGACACACTGGCACCACAATCTGCGACAACAATAATATATTTATATAGTATACTGCAGATCCAGTCTTCATGGCGTGTTGCATTTATTGAATTTAAGAAAGAAACGATCGGAATGGAGGACTGTTTGAAAAGTGACAAGTACTCACCCTGTATGAAGTGGGACAAAACCGGGAAGTATCCTTAAAACCGCAGATACTATTGCGTCTTAGAAAGTCTTAAAAAATTCCATCAGCAATAAAAGGAAGTTATTTATTGGAATGACCACTGAGCAGTGATGGCATCAGGTGTTTGCGACGCGGTAAGACACGTCCCTCTCTAACACTACGGCACCACAACTCAGTTAAAACATTGTAACCGCCATCAAGAAACGAGGTGTTGTGTCACAGTGTTTTCCTTTGAGTGCCTATCATAGAGGCTACTATAAACTATACAGGTCTTGAATAGTGAAATCCTTGAGCCCGAGTGATCATACATCAAGGAAATTAAATCTGAGATTCGAACCCATGTTCAAAGGACTCTGGGATGCATCATCATGTCGAACAACAGCGCCATAGTCGTCTGGACATGAACTGCTTCGTCTCAGTGAGCTTAGTGACAGTTTCCTACATTTTTCAATAGAAAATAATCTGTTTATGTCTTCATTGAACATTATATCCTAGCGGATTCGCCTAATACTCTGGACGTTTATGACTCAGTCCGCTGGGACATCTAATTTGATAAGCGATGATTGAAATCCTGAAAATCTCACAAGGACCCATTATAAAATGTCATAGCTATATGATTTAAATGAATACTTGCATTACCATTGGAGTAAGACAGAAATACGTACATCTGTAGTACCACCATTGATAAGTGAATTTGAAACCTTTTCCAAGGTTTGTTTGTGTTTGAAAATTGATGAAGAGTTGCTCTGTGGTGGTCATAAATGAGCGGTCATCCTTCCCGCAGAATCTCCATGAACGATAACCCTGACCTACCCCTCCTGAAACAAAAATACATTGCCTGTCATACAGAAGCATATGTAAATTCAAGATGAAGATTCGGACACATTTCTCGGTTCAATGTCTGTTTACACACCAGCGAATACTTCAATGTTAATTATCTAAATTTGATACCTTTACTATCATGGGATTTTAAAATATTGGTGCTATTCTTACCATCATGTAAAGTAATGCTATCCTCTGGGCACTTTACATCTACCTCGGTAAACCACACGATGATGTGTCTTTGTCGGGAAGATGTGGCATTCCACCAAGCGTTGTAGCCACTGAAAAATATTGCATCATGTCATTTCTATTTTTCAAGAGAAAAGAATGTAGCAAAATACTACCTAATTAATCACATTAGTTAATAAAGCATTTAGAAACATTTCCGCTGACGTCCATTTGGAGGAAGTTCGTCATTTCAAGGCAAGGAAGGGGAACCGACCGGACCACCGCAATGACTAACACATTTGATCAGTCCGGAATTGCGGGCTGGCACTCTCAGACTGAATCAAATGGTATGGAATTGGCTGTTTAGGATGGAATACCTAACCTTGATTGCACGTGATAGCAGACACCCGTGAAGATCCGGTTAGAACTGGTCTTTAGTAACCCATGCTTGTCGAAAAAGGCGACAAACAGGATCGGGTGGTCAGGCTCCCTGACTTGGTTGACACATGTTATCGTATCCCAATTGCGTAGATCGATGCTCATGCTGTTGATCACTGGATTGTCTGGTCCAGACTAATTTATTTACAGATGGCCGCCGTACAGATGGAATATTGTTGAGCGCGGCGATAAACAACAAACCAACCAACCATGACATCAGACAAAGATGATTCATTATTAAAGACACGATTATTGTCTGCCATGAGAGAGCTGTAGTATTGATCAGTGTGGCTTTAGATAAAAACGATAAAACCTTTTCCACATCCATGACAACTGTGTGTCTGTTTAACACCACACTCAACAACATTAGGACGGTCCATGAATATTCGAGTGTGTACAGGTCAAAATAGGGAATGGCACCAGACATAATATTTGTCACTGATTCATCAAATTTTGAAATGTCCTCCACATGTTTACCACTGTGTTAACAATGCATCCTGGATCGATAATCCTGGATCGATACAGAAATAAAAACGTTGTTCATTGTCGTTCCAAATGTGTTTCCATATTCTACTACAATACACTTACTTTATTGGCAACTAAGAAATATAAAATTGGTAATTTGGGTTAAATCGTACATGTACCTCAAGTAATTGCCTTTCCCGGGAGGAAAGAAGAAAGATTTATCATATCCGGATGCTTCTAATGCCATGTTAACCTGACCTAGAATGCAAGAATACAACACTGTCAGTGTCATGTTAGCATTAGACAATAATAATAATAATGAAAGCCTATATAGCGCTAAATCCAACCACTAAGTGGGTGTTCAAAGCGCTGTATCTGCTGATAAGGATAACATCACACAAATTATGACGTTTTTCACAATGAGTTCCAAGTTCCAAGACAGATAAGCCATCAATTTGAGACAAGCACACTCAGCAATATATAGTGCGTGAAAATATATACTACTCACAATTTGATAGGGATCATAGAAAGTTTGATGAACATATGTGAGCAAGTTTTGTTACTGCCTTTGATTAACGGTACATTGTTAAAGGACATCTAGGCAGTGTCATGTACACATTTGCACGTTAGATGAGCATGCAGCTTCGCCTTTGTAACTTTGATGTAAACGTCAGTTTGTCAGCTCACACCTGTGTGTGGATTGTTGATGAAGGTTTTGACATTTCAATACGTTTGTCATTACATTTAACACTCATAATGCTTCCTCAACGTCAAAGATGTCAGAACAATCAGAGAGATGCATCGGCATGCTTGAATCAGTCTTCTCAAAACGTAACGAATGATACAAAACGCCAGTTAAAGCGTTGTTAACAAAGCGTGGTACCGGCATCAAACTTTTGATACGGCAGCCCACCGTCATGGTGGTGGTCTTCAAAGGTCCACTGCACAACGACAAGACAACCGTACCTCACAGGCGGGAACGTTTAGTTTGTCACTTGGACACACTGGCTACCATTTCTCTTTACTGATGAGTCACGGTATTGTTTGGACTTTGCTGACAGAAGGCAACGGGTGTGGAGAAAGAAAGGGAAAGGTTTAACGATGCTAACATTAGCAAACACGGTCGTTATGGGGGAGGATCCATCATGGTCTGGGGAGGAATCAGCAGAAACGGAAAAACTGCTCTACATGTCACGATGAGGGTCACGATGACAGGCGTTCGATACAGGAATGAAATCCTTAGTATGTACGTGAGACCCTACGCTAGTGCCAGAGTTCATCTTGATGGACGAACATGCCCGTCCCCATCGTGCTAGGGTGGTGAACCAGTTCCTGGAACAAGAAACAATTATCCATATGGAATGGCCCGCGCGATCGCCGCACCTACACGCTATTGAACATGTGTGGAACATGCTGCAGGTGGCCGTTTCCGGACGTCAGGCACAACCCGGGACTCTAGAAGAACTCGGAAATGCCCTGGTCGAGGAATGGAATAACCTTCCAATGGCAAGCATCCGGGTTCTTATTGACAGCATGAACAGTCGATGCCAAGCTGTCATTCAGGCACGGGGAGATCATACCCGTTATTAACTTTGAAATGGATAACATCAAAATACATCACTCTGTCTCCAGTTTGCCATTGTTTGCCTTTTCATAATGAAATGCAATTTTGGAATGTAACGCACTCTTCAACATTAAACATTACAAACAGTCAAATTTCAATGCATTTCTGAACCATTAAATGAGTTAACTCTTTATGAAAGTCCAACGTTTGAGGTGGATTAACCGCACTCTTAACATGTGATCCATATCTAATTGTGAGTAGTATATAGATACATAGGTGTGATCCATAAAATATCAGTTCATTCCCTCGGCTTTCTCAGTAAGTATGTCATTGTGCATTTCCGGGAATTCAAGCCAGTATTTTATACGACAGTAAAATAAATTACACTTAAACTGCAAGAGGGATATCGGTAATCATACCATACCATACCACCATACCATATACCATACCATACCATACCATACCATTACCATACCATACCATACCATACCATATCATACCATACCATTTTTGTCCTGTAAAATGACTTGCAGAGAACGTTTGTCACATGTTTGCTGAGTAGTCTTGATTCACATTTGTCTTTGTCCTGTACAGTATCGTTCCAGATTGTTTTTTGTCCTATACACTATCTTGTCGGAAAGTTCGTTGTTCTTTTTTCGAGCAGTTAGGCGTTCTCTACTATTCCTTGTGGAGTAGCCTGCTACCCTCTACAATGTGAGATTTGCTAGCATGTACAATGCCGAGCAGTCTGATGTCTTTTGCAATGTCTTGTCAGTGTAGTTCGTTGTCGTCTAATATGTTATGTCGAGCAGTTTGCTGTCTTGTACAATGTCTTGTCGAGCAGTGTGTTATCCTCTGCAATGTCTTGTCGTGTAGTTCGTTATCCTCTAATATGTAACGTCGAGCAGTTTGCTGCCTTGTACCATGTCTTGTCGAGCAGTGTGATGTCTTCTTGCAATGTCTTGTCGTGTAGTTCGTTGTCCTCTAATATGTTATGTCGAGCAGTTTGCTGTCATGTACAATGTCTTGTCGAGCAGTGTGTTGTCTTTGCAATGTCTTGTCGTGTAGTTCGTTGTCCTCTAATATGTCATGTCGAGCAGTTTGCTGTCATGTACAATAACTTGTCGATGTATTGTCTTTGCAATGTCTTGTCGTGTAGCAGTCATTCGAACAATTTGCTGTCATGTACAATGTCTTGTCGAGCAGTGTGATGTCTTTGCAATGTCTTGTCGTGTAGTTCGTTATCCTCTAATATGTCATGTCGAGCAGTTTGCTGTCATGTACAATGTCTTGTCGAGCAGTGTGATGTCTTTTGCAATGTCTTGTCGTGTAGATTGTTGTCATCTACTATGTCTCGTCGGGCAGCGTGCTGACATGTACAGTGCATACGGGAGTGGTTTGTTGTCCCCTACACTGTCCCGTCGGATAGTTCAATGCCTTCAGGTTCAATGCCTTGTGGAGTAGTTTGATTGTCATGTACAATGACTTGGTTAATAGTTTATAGATATTTTGTCGAGTAGTTTGTACTTTTCTACAATATTTTGTGGAACGCAGTTTGTTTTGCTGAAAAATCTCTTATACAATACAACCACTTCGCTGTTTATATTTACCTTCCCAGTATTCCAGAAGAAAGCCTGTGTTGTTTGTATTAGCGTCGACTTCAAAGACAATCAGCATCTGGCTTGATAGACTTTGGTATGATGGTGTCTTGTTGGATGCAGAAACCTCCAATACGATTTTGAATCGTCTCGTCAAGACCTGAATGGGCAGGTTATCGTTCAGTTGTTAGATTTATGGTGGCTGGATTGGTGACGATATTACTAATGTATTGTAACAAACGACATATCTGTTCAACAAACCGTTGGGCACAAAACATAAAAGCATGTGTCACAGATAACTCACTGATGGTGGAGTCACTGAGTATCATTTATTCTAATTTACATTTTAGTTTGTAAAATGAGAATGCCATAATGTCATGTGTCGTATGTAGTTTTGTAGAAGTGAAAGATAACACCTCACGAATACTTATGATTAGTATATTTTGATATATTTTAATTAAAGTTATTGTAACTGAAGAAAAACTGTTTCGAAAATAACTTCATTGTGGCATATCCCATTAGCAAAACATTTGTTGTGGATTAAAAGGCACATGTTTAATGAATATTCATTCTTCCACTAAGACATAGTATTGATCAAAGATTGCACAGATCATCAGAAAAAAAGTATAATTGTCATAAGAAGTCCCTAAAGATTTATAAAATTATTAAACAGATTGTGTCTAAAATGAGAGCTTTCAGTAAAAGTAATAAAGGCATAAATATGTCTCCTGGTCATGTCATTTCAAAGGAATTTGAGTTTCAGCTTGAAACCGAGGGTGCTCTAAATCACATATTACCATCATAGACCGAGATCACTCTCTTCACACAGTGGATGCTGCCGCCAACGTCACTGGCTTTCACGGATATATAGACTGCGTGTCCGGGGGAGCTGGTGATGGCGTATTTACACCTCTGGTAGCTACCAACAGAAGTCACACATGATGATTTTCATCGATCGGTGATTGGATGTTCACTGTCAGTCACCACGATATTGATCAAACCATCAGGTCCTGGTCGACTCTAGCACGTGAGTGAGTCTGTGAGTTTTGTTTTAGCCGCATTCAGCAATATTCCAGCTTTATGGCGGCGGTCTGGAAATAATCGATTCTGGACCAGACAACCCAGTGATCAACACCATGAACATCGATCTACGCAACTGGGATACGATGACATGTGTCAACCCAGTCAGCGAACCTGATCACCCGATCCCGTTAGTCGCCTCTTACGACAAGCACGGGTTGCTGAAGATCAATTCTAAACCGGATCTTCACGGGTCCGCTAGCATGTTGATATGATACCATTCTCATTACTTCCTACATACAAGGAGCATGCGCATGCCAGTCCCCATCATGTTAACCAAACCATAGTCCAGGCCCTGAGGCTCTGACCATGTGAATGCGATTCCACGCAGCTTTATCTTCCCATAATTAACTACCATGCGCATCAGTTCGAACTCTGCGGTTCACCATCATGTTGAACAAACCACAGATCAGGCCTATCATCATGTCGATATGATAACATTTTCATCACCAATAGATTCATTTTCAGTCAATCAAAGACCCTGCACCACTTCGTACACTTCATCAGCGTCATTCATACTCCTTCGAAAGGCATGATGATCCGTCCGGATCGAGGATTTCAAACTCTTGGTTTATATATGTTCCAGTGCTTATAAGTATTGCACAGATACAGAATCACACCGATAATCACATTGTAGTTTTTTTTCTGCATCATCATCCATGTTGACTTATTATCTCATTATCAATCAAGGAGGATACTGTCTTTCTGACATCAGTTACTTTGTGGGTACATTCTCAGGTCATCATGACCAAGTGGACACTATTTCACATCACCATTTAAATCCATAACAACATTATCATTTAAACGCGTAGTTCCATTCATGCATAAGCAATCACCACACAGGTACATGTGATTCTCATCAATCGACATGCAGGTGCATTTTACTCCAATCAATCAACATCAAGGTACATTGTACTCTCATCAATCAACATACAGGTACACCGTCCCCTTATCAATCACCACACAGGTACATGTGATTCTCATCAATCGCCATGCAGGTACATTTTACTCCCATCAATCATCATACAAGGACATTGTACTCTCATCAATCAACATACAGGTACACCGTCCCCTTATCAATCACCATGTAAGCGCACTGTTCCCTCATCAATCACCAGGGGCGGTGGGGTAGCCTAGTGGTTCAGACCTGGGTTCGATTCCCCACATGGGCACAATGTGTGAAGCTCATTTCTGGTGTCCCCCCGCCGTGAAATTGCTGGAATATTGCTACAGGCGGAGTAAAACTAAACTCACTCACTCACTCATCAATCCCCATGCACGCAGATTGTACTCTCATCAACCACCATACAGAAACATTACTTTCAACAAGCACCATGCAGGTACATTGTACTCTCATCAAGAACCATACCGATACACTGTACACACATCAACCACCATACAGGTAAATTGTACTCTCATCAACCACCATACATAAACATTGTACTATCATCGATCATCCTGCAGGTACATTGTAATCTCAACAACTACCATGCAGGTACTTTGTACTCTCAACAACCACCACGCAGGTACATTGTACTATAATCAACCACCATACAGGTACATTGTACTATAATCAACCACCATACAGGTACATTGTACTCTCATCAATCACCATGCAGGTACAATGTACTCTCATCAATCACCATACAGGTACATTGTACTATAATCAACCACCATACAGGTACATTGTACTCTCATCAAGAACCATGCAGGTACATTGTACTCTCATCAAGCACCATACAGGTACACTGTACTCTCATCAACCACCATACAGGTACATTGTACTATAATCAACCACCATACAGGTACATTGTACTCTCATCAATCACCATACAGGTACATTGTACTCTCATCAACCACCATACAGGTACATTGTACTCTCATCAATCACCATACAGGTACATTGTACTCTCATCAAGCACCATACAGGTACACTGTACGTGTACTCTTATCAACCACCATACAGGTACATTGTACTATAATCAACCACCATACAGGTACATTGTACACTCATCAATCACCATCCAGGTACATTGTACTCTCATCAATCACCATACAGGTACATTGTACACTCATCAATCACCATACAGGTACATTGTACACTCATCAATCACCATACAGGTACATTGTACTCTCATCAACCACCATACAGGTACACTGTACTCCCATCAATCACCATACAGGTACACTGTACTCTCATCAATCACCATACAGATACATTGTACTCTCATCAACCACCATACAGGTACACTGTACTCTCATCAATCACCATACAGGTAAATTGTACTCTCATCAACCACCATACAGGTACACTGTACTCTCATCAACCACCATGCAGGTAAATTGTACTCTCATCAATCACCATGCAGGTACATTGTACTCTCATCAATCACCATACAGGTACATTGTACTCTCATCAACCACCATGTAGGTAAATTGTATTCTCATCAATCACCATGCAGGTACATTTTACTCCCATCAATCACCATGCAGGTACATTGTACTCTCATCAGCCACCATACAGGTACACTGTACTCTCATCAATCACCATGCAGGTAAATTGTACTCTCATCAACCACCATGCAGGTACACTGTACTCTCATCAATCACCATACAGGTACATTGTACACTCATCAATCACCATACAGGTACATTGTACTCTCATCAATCACCATACAGGTACATTTTACACTCATCAGTCACCATACAGGTACATTGTACTCTCATCAATCACCATGCAGGTACATTGTACTCTTATCAATCAGCATGCAGGTACATTGTACTCTTATCAATTACCGTGCAGGTAAATTGTACTCTCATCAATTACCATACAGGTACACTGTACACTCATCAGTCACCATCCAGGTACATTGTACTCTCATCAATCACCATACAGGTACATTGTACACTCATCAGTCACCATACAGGTACATTGTACTCTCATCAATCACCATACAGGTACATTGTACACTCATCAGTCACCATCCAGGTACATTGTACTCTCATCAATCACCATGCAGGTACACTGCACTCTCATCAGTTACCATCCAGGTACACTGTACTCTCATCAAGCACCATGCAGGTACACTGCACTCTCAGCAACCACCATACAGGTACATTGTACACTCATCAATCACCATCCAGGTACATTGTACTCTCATCAATCACCATACAGGTACATTGTACACTCATCAATCACCATACAGGTACATTGTACACTCATCAATCACCATACAGGTACATTGTACTCTCATCAACCACCATACAGGTACACTGTACTCTCATCAATCACCATACAGGTACACTGTACTCTCATCAATCACCATACAGATACATTGTACTCTCATCAATCACCATGCGGGTACATTGTACACTCATCTATCACCATACAGATACATTGTACTCTCATCAACCACCATACAGGTACACTGTCCTCTCATCAATCACCATACAGGTACACTGTACTTTCATCAATCACCATACAGGTACATTGTACACTCATCAATCACCATACAGGTACATTGTACTCTCATCAACCACCATACAGGTACATTGTACACTCATCAATCACCATACAGGTACATTGTACACTCATCAATCACCATACAGGTACATTGTACTCTCATCAACCACCATACAGGTACACTGTACTCTCATCAATCACCATACAGGTACACTGTACTCTCATCAATCACCATACAGGTACACTGTACTCTCATCAATCACCATACAGATACATTGTACTCTCATCAATCACCATGTGCGTACATTGTACACTCATCTATCACCATACAGATACATTGTACTCTCATCAACCACCATACAGGTACACTGTACTCTCATCAATCACCATACAGGTACACTGTACTCTCATCAATCACCATACAGATACATTGTACTCTCATCAATCACCATGCAGGTACATTGTACACTCATCTATCACCTTACAGATACATTGTACTCTCATCAATCACCATACAGATACATTGTACTCTCATCAAGCACCATACAGGTACACTGTACTCTCATCAATCACCCAGCAGGTACATTGTACACTCATCAATCACCATCCAGGTACATTGTACTCTCATCAATCACCATCCAGGTACATTGTACTCTCATCAATCACCATACAGGTACACTGTACTCTCATCAATCACCATACAGGTACATTGTACACTCATCAATCACCATACAGGTACATTGTACTCTCATCAATCACCATACAGATACATTGTACTGTCATCAATCACCCAGCAGGTACATTGTACTCTCACAAGCCACCATACAGGTACACTGTACTCTCAACAACTACAATGCAGGTACATTGTACACTCATCAATCACCATGCAGGTACCTGTACATTGTACTCACATCAGGGTACACTGTACACTCATCAATCAATCACCATCCAGGTACATTGTACTCTCATCAATCACCATACAGGTACACTGTACTCCCATCAATCACCATACAGGTACACTGTACTCTCATCAATCACCATACAGGTACACTGTACTCTCATCAATCACCCAGCAGGTACATTGTACACTCATCAATCACCATCCAGGTACATTGTACTCTCATCAATCACCATACAGGTACACTGTACTCTCATCAATCACCATACAGGTACATTGTACACTCATCAATCACCATACAGGTACATTGTACTCTCATCAGTCACCATACAGATACATTGTACTCTCATCAATCACCCAGCAGGTACATTGTACTCTCACAAGCCACCATACAGGTACATTGTACTCTCAGCAACTACAATGCAGGTACATTTTCACATCATTTCTTGATCTCCGTTTGCCGCAGAACTCAGCAATATTTCAGGTATATCAAATGATTAAGACTGGAGCAGACAATCTAATGATTAACATAATGAACATCTATCTAATCTTTCCGGATACGATGACGTGCATAAACCAAGCCAGCGAGCCTGACCACCTGATCCCATTAGTAGCATCTGTCGTTGACAATTAATCATCATCATCATGATACAAGCTCAAACCAGCAGTCACTCATGTGTGTGTTTCGCAAGCTGCCTTGGTAAATATATGCATTAGTAATTAAATGAACTGGTGGTGAAACACGAAATATCAAACACAAAGAATGCTACTCACCTTGGGAACGGGTTAGGATAATTATCAGATTTCAGGATCTGTTTGATACCGGAGGCAGTCAGCTGTTGGTCACACATGCCATCTGTTAATTACAGTTTACAGTATTAATACATTATATTGCCCTACTGTGTTAGTTTTACATGCTAGTTTTAAATTCATATCTGTGATACTCTAGAATGTTTACTGTCCATCCTCGACAGGTTTAACTCTTCACAATGTTATCATTTTTGTATTATATAAATTGTTTACGTCACGATATGGCTGAGATATTGCCGATGTGAGGTTAAATATTAACTCACTCACTCACTAATTTGTTTAATTCATTTGTACAAACAAACCTTCCACGATGTCATATCTGAGTTTGAATCCTGTGTGCTTGCGGGAATGTTCGGTGCCTGTCCTGTACACCACCACCAATGTTGTGACAAAAAACTGGAACGTAGGTGTGCTTCTTCCACACCAAGATCCAATTATCTTGTAATTAGCAGCTGTAAAATAAATTTTATCTGCATATTGATAATGTCAAAAGTAATTTAGAATGCAATACGCTGACACATCATATTACTAAGTGAGTGTTCATAACGTTTAGCAATACTCCAGTCTAGAATCTGTCTCAGGAGATAATTGAGGCTAGTTAGTGCCTGGCAAAGACGAGGATCACTGAATTCTCACCCGGATCTTAGATGTCAGGAGTCAATGCTTTGACCACTAGGAGACATCCGACATTTCTAAAGTCGTGCTATTGAAATTAGGCGCAGACACTTGTAGTTACAACAATGTAGGGCTGGCTATCGATAGAGATCATAGATATCGATAATTGTTAATTAAATATCGATCGATTATCGATAAAAAGCTGAGACGTAACTTGAGCAAACAAATTGTCTTAAACAAATGAATATATTTCACATCACTGGTAAACGTGGTGACATGTTTTTGCATCATTTTGGCATTGTGATTATCAACAAAACAGCGTTCTGAACATACTTTTGAAGCTAACCATGAATAAAGTCCTAACTTTTTTTCTATCACACAATCTAATGTACGATATTATCGACAAGCACAATCTTCATATCAATTGATAACTACTGATATTTTTCTATTGACAATATTTCCGATTATCGATGATTTCAGCTAGCCATAGAACATTATATGCATATATTTCTTCGTATTCAAATGCAATTTAATCCGATTAAAACAAGATTTCAATAGCAAAGACCTATGGCATAAGTGTTTAATACATCTATAATACGCACGGTTATACATCTGTACAATGTCCTTGGAACAGTTCTGGGTGTCGTCTAAGTCCGATTCCAGCACTTTGAGTTGTATGTACAACTTTTCAGAGGCTTCTGTTGTAATGAACCACCTGCATTCCTGTAAGCTGATAACACAACGTTGTGAAAATAATTTTATTTATTATGTCATATTGAGCATGGGTAGATCACCTCAGTTTCCGTGTCATTATTACCCGCTGCCACGGTAACTGCCAAACTCTCCGCCGAGAAGCTGTATCGCTAACAATATTTAATATCACCCATGCAGTGCACGGAGTTCGAAAGCCGTTCGATTAGCTGTTTTTGAGTTCAGTATTTACACATTTATTTTACCCACTTTTACTGCATTATTCAAACTATTTTATTCATTGAATCGTTTGCACACTCGGCTTAAACATAATTAACCAACTTTATAGCAGTTTTAAGCTTGTCAGAATATGTTTCACTGATTTTAAAAATGCAGTCGAGAAACTTTGTTTACATGTCATATAGCCGGTAGCGATCTCCAAAATAAAATAAAATGATATTTTGTACATTTAATATGGCGGTAAAATAAATCAGCCTACCGGCTCGGGTGACACTCTTACAAAGAGGCGTACATCAGACCGTATCACCCTCGACAGATAATATTTAATATCTTTAATGAGATAAATAGTTCATGATCTATCTGTGTAACAGGGACATCTGACGGGGATTTGCATCAGTCGTTTAGCGTCAAATAACCACAGATTTTGTTTGATAATTGGCTAAAGCGTACATCATCGTTGATCAGTTCATTTACCCGGAAAGGTCATGAATCCGGCATGAAAAGTCATTACTGATTATGAATCCTTCTCTGTTCTCAAGACAATCACGGACTCGACCAGGCATACTCCTCGTCAAACATCCACAATCTCTCACTCTCTCTCTCTCAATCTTTCTCTCTCAATCTCTCTCTCCCAATCTCTCTCTCAATCCTCTCTCTCTCAATCTCTCTCTCTCTCAATCTCTCTCTCAATCTCTCTCAATCTTTCTCTCTCAATCTTTCTCTCTCAATCTTTCTCTCCCAATCTCTCTCTCAATCTCTCTCAATCTTTCTCTCTCAATCTTTCTCTCCCAATCTCTCTCTCTCCCTCTCTCTCTCAATCTCTCTCTCTCTCAATCGCTCTCTTTCCTCTCTCTCTCTCTCAACCCCCTCCCTCTCTCTCTGTGTGTTGTATTGTTTACTACATCTGATAATATCAGATACTCGATACCCTGTAGGATTTTCAGGCTCGAGGTTTGGGAGCTAATACTTGCGTGTAAGAAAAACAATTACGTTCTCTATCCAGATCCTAAGACTCTGAGAGTATGAGGCTCTAAACCTCTAAACTAATTTTCCACTTTGCTATCAAATATACAATTGAATAAACTTACTCTCTATACCCAGTTGGAAATCCTGGAGACATTATCTCCCCGACAGATTCGTTTGAGATTCGAAGGGTATTGTAGCATCGGTCTTCTGAAATGGCGGTAGAAAGCGATTTTAACATACGTAACGTGCTGAGATATCTCTTCCGGTTTCTCCCTGAGTTGTCAAGGGTATGAATCATGGACTATTATCGAAACTCCCTCTGGAATCATTCATCACAAAGTCAGTAGGCCAGATTCGAATTTAATGCTTACAAATAACATATCCTTCATCAAAATATTTAGGTGCACATCATCCATGTTTGTCCATTATAACGACTATTCTATACTTATAACAGGCTTCCTGCTTGGAGCCAACGGGCGCAGAAAGAATCCTTGAGGTACAGTTTCGGAAAGTGGGTGAATGGCTTGCTCTTTATGCCCTTTGGTTATAGTGCTATGTAAGAGTGAATTTAGTTTTACGCCGCTTTTAGCAATATTCCAGCAAAATCACGGCGGGGACAGCAGAAATGGGCTTCACATATTGTACCCATGTGAGGAATCGAACCCGGGCTCCAGCGTGACGAGCGAACGCTTTAACAACTAGGCTACCCCACCGCCCGCCTTAGTAAGAGATTGTGACGGTTAAACGGTATTTTTCTTTGACATCTTCAGCGCGCCAGGAGAAGCTGAACCTACCTTCTTCTGCAACGTATTTCACTTGTATTCCGGTATTGATGTGCTCCAGTCCTCTTGGGGAGATGGTGACGATTGAATGTTTATAGATGGCTATTGCTTTTTCTTCCTTCAAGCATAAAGTCTGGATCTCTCTTCTGTAGCCTAAATAAGTACCACACTATGTTACAGTATTGTAGACATTTACGGCTGACGCCGGGTTTTGGACTGACTGACTGACTGAGTTTGGTTTTACGCCGCTTTTAGCAATATTCCAGCAATATCACGGCGGGGACACCAGAAATGGGCTCCACTCATTGTATCCATGTGGGGATTCGAACCCGGGTCTTCGGCGTGACGAGCCAACGCTTTAACCACTAGACTACCCCACCGCCCCCCGGGTTTTGGAGTTTACGTTATAGGGTGAACGTTGTCCTCAGCAGTAGCTATGATGAATTTATTTGATAGATACAACACTAAGTAACTGAGAGAAAAAAATACAGAACCACCACTTCATCGCAGTGTTCCGTACTTTCGTCTCAGATGTTCACCTACAGTGCAATACAATGCCTGCGAAGAAACCCAGAAAAGAATGGTACTCCTTTGTGTTTTTAAATATATTTTTGTTTCCCTCCGTATGTAAAATATACAATATTTTTATTTAGAACAATGGTGGTATTATAATAGCAATGCTATTGCTGGGAAACTGTTAATCATGTGTCATTAAACATTTGTACAAACATCTTACACTATAGGAATGGGACAGATCATTCTGTTTCATGACGGCTTAATGGGTTGTAGGGGTAGACGGTTATAATTACAGACATCCTCATACATCACAAACAATGTTTCGATAAAACAAACCTATATAGGTCTCAACGCTGATGTTTGTAAGTGAGCAGTCGGAAGTAACAGATTTGTCAGCATACTTGAAGGTCAAGAGAAGACGGTTAGTTGGAGGGCCCGAAACGGCCCAAGAGCATTTGGAAACACTGAAAACAAAATTATTTCGAAATAAATATCAATCTTCCCGTACACTGTAGTTGATTATCTTATATGTCTAACATAAACTAACAAGGTTTTGATATCAAATTGTCGCAAGGTTCTGACGAAACTATTTGAAGGTCTATTCTGTTTATGTTGTAGACGATGATTATGCGTGTCCAGTATTTTGCAAGGACAGGTGAGTGAGTGAGTTTAGTTTTACGCCAACCAGACAATCCAGTGATCAACTGTATGAACATCGATCTACGCAATTGGGAAACGATACATGTGTCAACCAAGTCAGCGAGCCAGACCACCCGTTCCCGTTAGTCGCCTCTTACGACAAGCATGGGCTACTGAATATTAATTCTAACCCGAATCTTCACGGGTATGCAAGGACAAGACCCAGTTGTTGCCATGAGAGATGGATGTCGCCATAGCAAAGTTACAAACTAAAAGTGTCGACATTACTCGTCTCGAGATGTGTTGTTTACAAACAGGCTCGCTGACATGATTGACACCTGCCATTGTATCCCAATTGCGTAAAGCGATGTTGTTGATCACTGGATTGTCTGGTGTAGACTCGTCTTTTAACATACCGCCGCCATATGACTGGAATATTGCTGAGTGCGGCGTTAAACAACCAACCAACCAACCAAACCAACCTTCCAACCTATTACCATGATAAGAGTGAGTGAGTGAGTGAGTTTGGTTTTACGCCGCTTTTAGCAATATTCCAGCAATATCGCGGCGGGGCACACCAGAAATGAGCTTCACACAATGTACCCATGTGGGGATTCGAACCCGGGTCTTCGGCGTGACGAGCCAACGCTTTAACCACTAGGCTACCCCACCGCCCCACCATGATAAGAAACAAACGGTAAAGTAAACATACTCACTTTTGTGTTCCAGATGGATAGCCAGGAGTCCGAACATACCCTGGTGTAAAGATTGCCAAGAATTCTATGTAATCGTCACAAACTGAAACAAATTGCACAATACCTAACTTCCATGAAGAAAAGATATATCTATTTTCCACAGACCCGTGAAGACACAACATAAGATGTCAATAAAACAACCATGTAGCATATAGATCCAGGTTAGAATTGATCTCCAGTAACCCATGCTTGTCGTAAGAGGTGACTAACAAGGTCGGGTGGTCAGGCTCGCTGACTTGGTTGACACATGTCATCGGTTCCCAAGTGCGTAGATCGATGTTCATGCTGTTGATCCATGGATTGTCTGGTCCATATTTACAGACCGTCGCCATATAACTGGAATACTTTTAAAGGACAATACAACCCACAACGTTTCAACAGATTGGTTTCGTTTCAAACTCGACGTTTAAGGAGGACGGTACCATTTCGGGAACTACATCCAAGTGTGGTTTCTGGAGTACCTTTATTGTGAGCCTGGGTGTAGTTCAGCGTCAGGATGTTGTCGGCGAGGATGGCGGTGCCATTTTCGATGACAACTGTCATGGCGTCCTGTGATGAAACAAACTGTGGTGTTCGCCTCTTCGTTGGCGATCCACAAAAAGACCCCAAATACAGCTCATTTGTGGGGTTATCTGAAACGGGTTATATTCAATAGTGTTAATCCTAAATCCTAGTCATTGAATCTATAACATGTCACACGTTCAAAGGTTCTCTTCGTTAATCGACATGCTTAATGTATAATGTAGTTTTCTGATATCTTGCACATCTCCAAAGAGGGAGGATCAATCGTCGATATTCTAACCATTATTGACAATTAGGTCATGACTATTTAAATGAGGTCGTACAGGGAACTCTGTTTGAGTGAGTGAGTGAGTTTACCTTTACGCCGCATTTAGCAATATTCCAGCAATATAATAATATCACGGTGGGGGACACCTGAAATGGACTTCCCACCACCTCTTTTGATCTCTGTTTGAGACAACATAAATTCCTAAAGGTGGTTAGAATCTGCGCCTTAGTTGGATGCGTGTCATAGTACTCCCATATAGATACCCATAATATCAATCACTGGATTGAATGGTCCAAACTCGAGCACAAAAGGCTTTATTAGGTTTTTTTACCTATTCTTTCAGTTGAGTAAACGTGTGCAAAAGAATACGAGTGAATGAATTTAGTTTTACGCCGCTGTTAGCAATATCACGGCGAGGGATACCCATTTGGGGAATCGAACCCAGGTCTCCGCTTTAACCACTATGCTACCCCACCGACCCCAAACGAATATGAATTATGCACAAACCAGCTTGTAAAATAATACATAATGTAGGACTATACTCCATTAGAAAAATGTCAGGAAACTCTCTTGTGTGCCCTATGTTATTTTTCAGAGAACACTTACCCCCAGAATAAAACCTTATATTGCCATCCTTGCAGACCTGCTGGGTTAGGTTGGCGGTAGCGTTAACTGAGACCTCCACAAAGGAATTATCTGAATCTTCAGTCCGTATAAGGATAATGCTTCTTTGTCCGCTGCATAATTGAAATGGACATACATTGAAATGATACATGCATATCATACTTTCAAATTGACATTTTTCACATGAAATGCAATTGTAGTGAATACACAGTGTCATTTACTGAGAAAGTGTGAACCCAAATCAAACTATGAGGCAAGTTTAAATCTTTTATAACGTTCGGTTGAAGAAAGGAAATATACAAAGTCACGTCTCGTGCGGAATTATTCTGCTCAGCTTGCACCTTGCTCGTGTAGCTGAACTTTGATGACAAAAATATCATTTGTAATTTTGACATGGATTCTGTGGAGTGCATAGTAGCAGTAGGAGATGCAGTAGTAGTAGTAGTAGAAGTAGTACTACTACTACTAGTAGTAGTAGTAGTAGTAGTAGTAGAAGGAGAAGTAGTAGTAGTTGAAGTAGAAGTAGTAGTAGTAGTAGTACTACTAGTAGTAGTAGTAGTAGTAGTAGGAGAAGGAGGAGAAGTAGTAGTAGTAGTAGGAGAAAGTAGTAGTAGTTGAAGTAGAAGTAGAAGTAGTACTACTACTAGTAGTAGTAGTAGTAGTAGGAGGAGAAGTAGTAGTAGTTGTACTAGGAGTAGTCGTAGTAGTAGTAGTAGTAGTAGTAGTAGTAGTAGTAGTAGTAGTAGTAGTAGTAGTAGTAGTAGTAGTAGTAGTAGTTTGTACTAACCTTTCTCCTACGGGATACGCGGACTGGTTGTAATATAATGTCTGAAGAGTTCCGTTAGCCACAAGAGTGATATTGACACCATACACTGGAAATGTAATGTGACATGTGAGACAGACATTCGGCAACTATAGGCGCACACACACACGCACGCACATACGCACACTCACACACGTTGATATTTTCAAGCCTGTTTACTAAATAAGTCGTGACAACATTCGTAAAATCACATGGGAAATCACACTGTGGGGAAAACACACTGGAGTTGTTAATAAAATATGTCATAACTATATCTTGCATTGTGATTAACATCTATTGATGTCAAACAGAAACATTCTGTTCCACTGTTGTATGTTTCGAGCTTAAAGCGGTTTAGAACGACATTCACTCTCTCGAAATGTCCAGACATTATGTCTCTCCTTCTTGTAGCAACCGACACAGCGTAAAATAACATACACATATATGGATACAATCTTTAACTGTAGTCAACTGATGGGTAGGGAACTTCTGGTAGTTGGAGAGGGATGATTGACGGTCTGGTTTGGCTGTTGAAGTTTTAGTTTCTTTGATGCATATATCTAATTAATGTGAAGAAGGTGTTATAGTCGCATCGTAAACCATTCCTTGACATTACTTGCATAGGTAACTTATTGCAGTCACAAGGATGATAATAGATAATAATTATGCCCGGAAGGAAATTTTGTGTACATCAGAGTTAAAGAACATAAAAACATAACATGTAAGACATGTGCAAACAACAATGACATTATATGCAAACTATTAGTTAAAAAAAACAACAACAACAACAAAAAAACAACATTATTTATAAGACAAACATCAATCAATAAATATACTAAGAGAGTAAGGTCCATACCTGCATAGAAAATATTAAAACAGATTGTAAACACGATTAACATTTTATAAAATATGATTTACATATGATCCTGCAGCTTATATAAACTTAACACGTGTTGAGAATACCAGTTGTGAAATGTCAAGCCGTTCGCCTCTGTGTAGCCGTCTGCGCAGCTCAATCCGACTGACGTCATACGTTTATTCAGTGCTTATTTCACAATAACGCCGCTTTTTAAATTGTTCAAGGCATTCATGCAATATTTGCACAGCAATTAAAGACGTGTTTACTTCAGTGACACTGTCAGCTACTTGCACTGTTAAAATATGGTGTAGTGCAGTGCGGAACGGCAGACAACAGCCGTGAGCATGTTCTAAATGCATATCTCGTTTGTAACTTCCCGTAGACGTACTGCATAAGGAAACTCGTTGAGCAAACACATGATAAAGTGTTGTAACTGCTACTTGATCTATTATTGCCATGGCTATGTCTATTAAGGCATCAATATTACTTCTTCCGTTTTTAATTTGTTAAACTTCTAACTCGGCACGGAAATGTAGGAATAATAACATATTTGGCTCTGAGATAAGTCGCGAAGATCAAAGTGAATGTGAATGAATGTAACACCGATGTTAACAGTTTTACGGCTGCTGTTATAGAGCTTATACCTGAACTGTTTTGAAGTTTTGGTTTTTGAACTACTATTGAAGACATTATGAGCAAATCAGTTTGGTATAACAATTCCCCCCAAATTGATGGTAAGCCCATAATATATTGCACAGTGGCATAAAATGGATATAACATTTCTGAATGATTTTATTAATGAACATGGTAAAATATATGAGTTTAATGAATTTGTTACAAAATATAAAATTAGAACCGATTTCGTGACCTATCAAGGGATTAAACAAGCTATGATGAGTTATTTACAAAATATCAATAAGAATCATTCAGTGAGATTTCTCAAGGACCAATATTGATATTCAACATCTCAAAAATACATAATAAATCTGGATATAAGGTACTTTATAAAATTCCGCATGAGCCTAATAGTACAAACTTAAGACCTACACTAAGTGGGAAGGTTACCTACAGAAAACATAACACTGATTCAGAATGGATAAATGTTTGATGGTAAAAAGATGTACTCCACAAAAAGTGAATTAAGGTTGTTTCAGTTGAAAGATTTACACAACATCCTTAGTACAAACAGTTATCTATTTAAGATTGGTTATGTATCATCAGCAGCTTGTACCTATGTAAGGAAGCAGATGAAACAATTTCACATATCTAATGCAAATGTTTATATTCTGTTGATATATGGGAAAAGCTATTAGAATGGATTGGAAATTATACAGAAGGCAGAATCACCTTCATTGAAGAACATATATTGTCTCGCTTAAAGGGTAAACATAATAATCCGTTGAATGTTGTTGTCATGATAACAAAATCTCTACTTTACAAATTTAATGGAAAAATGAATAAACCAAGCTTTTTAACCTTTCAAAAGGAAATAGTAAGATATTACGAAACCTCAAAGTTTATTTCATATTCAAATTGTAATATTACAAGCTTTCATGCCTTCTGGTCTTCTTTCCATTTACTGTTTAGGAATCCTCTACACGGATTCCTAAAAATTGAATGCATTATATTTATATGTGCATGTATGTATATGTGTATTTGTGTGTATGTGTGTGTGTGTGTGTGTCTATGTATAAACATATGTGTGTATATGTATATGTGTGTATATATGATAACAATATATGTATGCGTATATGTACATGTATATGTGTGTGTATATGTACTTGCATATGTGTTTGTATATGTACATATGCATGTGTTGCTGATACATTTACAACAATAACTATGAATGTTGATGCACATTTTGCCTTTGAATGTTAACAATAGATGGAAAATGTAACTTCAAAAGACGAAAAAAGAAATACATAGCCGATAGATGGGATTAATTAGCAATGATGGCTGGAAAAAATAATATTATGGCTGTCTGCAGGCGGGTGACTGGGTTAGAGCACTGACTTTGTGTGCTGGCGATTAGGTGTCTGACTCTGAGAATGTGGGTTCGAATCCCGGATTGGACACAACCCAAAAAATACTAGAATCTTTACTGAAGTGCGAAAATGAAATCCCAACTACAACACAAGTTGCATTTGACCACTTTGTGAAGGAACACTGTGTATTCAATCCACAAAGCGTTCGTAACGTTACGACCTGTCGTAACTATAGTTTGCCACAGGCTTACGAATATCGTAGCGCTACGAACGTTTTAGTACAAAACAACTGCACGAAGCAATAAGCTGTGTGACATAGGCAGGCCATATAATCGTGTCACATTAAAGAGATCAATACATGTGAGTCATGGATTGGTGAGGTATAAAAGAGTTACATGTCACATTCAATATTTGCCTGCTTGCATGATCGTGTGTGAGTGTGTGCGTGTGTACATGTGTGCGTGTGTGATTGACCGTACTTGACCGGTCTAATGCCATTAGGTCAAGGTGTCTGTCCCTCTTCAACACGGACAATCCACACATTACATTGGCAAAGACCGACACGTGTTATCTCCTTAATGTCGTGCGTAACGTTGAGTAAAACAAGTAATATCATTTAACGTCTTTGGTATGAGCACATCAAGGAAAGGGCACCGAGCCACCTATTTCCACTCTCAGGGAACACGTCCTATTAACGAGGTCACTAAGACTGTCACTCTGGATTAACAACAAATGAATTTATCTTACCTGTTGTCCCGATAGTTTGTACTAGTAAGATAACAGGCCACCATAAACTGCCATACGTGGCCATGTTGTCAAATGCATGCTATCATAATCTTCTCTCGGTATTTTGCAACAACCTCCAGGTAAACATATCCCGTAACCTGTCTACCTGGCCCGCCGCGACGGAAAACGTTAGCTGACTTGTCAGGCCACTTTTTCAATGTCGACAGTAATGACCAGACTGTCGACAGTCGCTGTAGAATATTATGCGTTCAGCATTCAGCGAAGCGTTACGATAACACGCCTGCAGCGGTAGGATCTTACCATTATGAAGCATTCAAGCGGAGACACATTGCGTCCTATACGCACAACCATTTAGAAAGGATACAAATAAGTTTGAATTCGAGTCCCATTCGACACAAAAGAGTACGGCTGTTCGAATAATAATAACATGATAATAAGGTACATTTAGACATTCTGTTCGGACACTAAACTATATCATAGCTGAGAAGAACTACATATGTACATGCATGCTAGATTTTCTTCTCTCAAGACTGTTGTAGTTGAAATAAGAGAAATGCCAATACGTATAGCTAGGATTCGCAAATAATTTAAATACTTACAGATTATTGACCCAAGTAGATCGCAGCCATTCATTCATGTTTCAAAATGTGTCATAATTGTTAGATACTCCAGCAATCCTTTCGTATTTTACCGCATGTTACCAGGATCCTCGTCATGCATGAAGAACTTCAAAACATTATTTTAGGAATGGATGCCCACATACATATAGATGCCTGCACAGCTAAAGAGATGAGGCACATTTTGACGGTTTCAAACAACCTTGGAACTACGAATGGCACCAGTTATAAGTGGAACTTTTTTTACAAACATTTAACACAACACTACCATTTATTAGTGCTCTATTATTATGTATGTCAGGCATACAGGTTGTTCGGTGTTGAGTAATAAAACAAATAAAATTTCATTGTTCTGGCTTATTGAAGGAAATCACAACTGGATGCAAACTATTGCTCAGTGGATCGGAGGTAAGGTTAAAAGTTCATTTCTTGAATTATTGTATGTCAATTATTTTCAATATCATCACTTGTGAGTAACTTATTCCCAATACAGATCGGGATCGAACTGTACGCTTAGAGTTTTACGGCGTCGTTCGAGTACTACACTATATCATTTCTTGAAACTGAGAAACATGATATGAGCTGTTAACATGTATTCTGAACAGTGCATAATCTGTCCATGTTAACAGATTGTTTCAGATGCTGATGACTATGACAATGCCGTATTAGAAGCAGAAGTAGTAGTAGTAGTAGTAGTAGTAGTAGTAGGTTGTTGGTTTGTTGTTTAACGCCGCACTCAGCAATATTCCAGCTATATGGCGGAGGTCCGTAAATAAGCGAGTCTGGACCACACGATCTAGTGATCAACAGCATGAGCATTCCATCGTATTGGGATACGATGACATGTGTCACCCGAGTCAGCGAGTCTGACCTCCCGATCCCGTTAGTCGCCTCTCACAGGCTACTGAAGAGCAGTTCTAACCCGGATCTTCACGGGTGAGTAGTAGTAGTAGTAGTAGTAGTAGCAGTAGTAGTACTAGTAGAACTGGTACTAGTACTAGTAGTCGAAGACATCAAACGCACGTTTTCCCCTCTCCTTGCTGTATCAACCGACTGCTCGTATTTCAACAAACAATATCTCCTTTTTGCATTTTACGGACGTTTCCATATATATGTGTGAATATTCATGCACGTATCCATATCACGTCTTTGCGTTGCCAAGGAAGTATGAAGGCCAGCAACACCCGTATCAATCTCAGAACATCCGCTTCCACCACACAACCCTCTCATTGCCTCCCAGCCCAACTTGTTCATTTAAGCTTAAAATATATCCCCTTTTGCTTTTTTTTATACTCCGAGAAACAAATATCAATTCAACCTATCCAATCTGCATTATCAATCCTTATTAGGTACAAATTGTATTTGTTTTTAATTATTTTTAGATGACACTTACATTTCAAACCATAAGGGCAGGCTAACTGATAGATAATCGGAAATATCATCGACAGGAAACATTTTTAATGATTATCGATATGAAAATTGTGTTATCGATAATATCGTACAATAACTTCTGGAATAGAATTTTTTTTAAATTTCTCACACGATATACACATTCAGGACTTCATTCATGGTCTGGTTCTAAATTATGTTCAGGAGTCTGTTTTGTTAATAATCCATGCAAAAACATGTCACCACACACGAGTGATGTGAGATACATTTATTTCTTTTAGACATAGTTTTGCATTTTGGCTCAAAGTGTTTTATCGATAATCGACCGATATTTAGCTAACGATTATCGATCTCTATGATTCATATCGATAGCCAGCCCTACCAAACATTTCCTTTTCTTTCTTTCTAAAATCCAAATTATGAATTTCCTTGGTTATACCTTTAGTTGCATTTTTTGATACAAACGTTTAAAATTATTCTCTATTTCACACATTACAGTACTTACCTTTTCACACATTACAGTACTTATTTAATCTCATCTTCCACCGCCCAGTGAAATTGAAGTCCCAGAATTAGTCTAGAAACTGATGATGATGATGATGATGATGATGATGTTTGTGAGATGTAAATGGGACTATGTGAGAATGTACATCGAAACGTCCGTACAATGCAATAAAATATACGTTGCATGTTCCATTACGATCAGTCGGTTTATAAAGCAAGGAGAGAAAAGACGTGCGGGTGGCTTCTTTTTATCATAATTATTATGATGATGATGATTATTATTATTATGTTTTACAGATTAAAGATAATATGCAGCAGAGAGGGTTCGGGTGATCCTGGCACAGTCAGGCTGGTAAGGCTCATCATCAGCTCGGGGCCCTTGCCGCCTGACTACACGCAGCCCAGACAGCGAATGGGACTTCTCCCAGGAAACGCTGCCTAGTCGAACCCACCAAGAACTTTCCGGAGAATATGAAGGCTCCCCAACACTGCAGCCTTCTGCATTACTCAGAGTGTCAGAAGGGTTGTACTCCCGGTGGGGAACCCGGGCACTCTCCTGATCTCACAAACCAAGGGCACCGAGACCAATGGGGAGCCTGACGACAGTGTACTTGGGATGCAAGCGAGACATTTCAAAGGCGAGGTCCGCATATTTATCATGCTTTTTACTGAATCTTGCCAATCACGTTGCTGTCAAAAGGGACAGAACAATTCAATGATATAATACATTCATTGGCTTTATCAAAAATGACAAAATCAGGTTTGTTGGCAGGAATTCGTATGAAGCTGTATATAGGCCTATTCCACAAAAGTTTAAAAGCATCATTTGCCATCACGCCCTGGACATGTTCAGGGTCGTACCATGGATGGACCTCGGTATCAAAGCCACAGGAATGGCGAAGACGATAGTAGAAGCAGCGAGCCATGCCATCATGTCTCTTAAGATATGCTGTTTGTACCAAGGAAGGGTATCCACTGACATGGTGTTGGACAGTCTCCGTAAATTCATTTCATAGTCGGCATTTCATATTGATATTTTCTTTAAGAATCACATTTTGGCGATTACGAGTGGGAAGTGACTGGTCCTGAGCAGCATAAAGGAAGCCCTCAGTTTCACATTTAAGACCAGCCGACTTCATCCAGGCGAAGGAGTCGGTGGGATTGCTATTCTGTTCCACACACTGCATGTACACACAATGCAGAAAGCTTCTCCACAAATGACCGACTCTGGGCACACTTGGTGAATGACTTCACCTGGTTTACTCACATCGCTGTTCTGTTCAGCAGTACATCGCCATCAACAAAATCAGCATCAAATTTCAGATTTTGTCCAACAACCTTGGCACGTTTAAGATAGCTGTGTAATTCCTTGCTTTCATCGTGAGTCTTGACATGCATCACCAGAGGATCATCCGATAAATAAATATGTGCAAAAGTACACAATACAATTCTATCATGAAGAGCCTCCACATTAATCAAACCCCGACCTCTAGAATTGATTGGCATATATAAACGATTGAGAGAGGAACAAGGGTGGTGGGCTCTGTTATCAGACATGATCCTTCTGGTCAGGCGGTCAAGACTCTGGATGTCTTGTTTTGTCCAATCAACTACTCCAAAGGAATAGGAGAGGACTGGCACAGCAAAAGTATTGGTGGCTTTGACCTTGTTTCGAGCATTTAGCTCTGAGCTCCAGATTTTCTTTCAGCGAGATTTATACTCGCCCCGAAGTTTTTCTTGAATCTGGGCATTCTGGAGCTTGTCTCGAACTTGCATTCCAAGATAGGTGTAGGCCTGATCTCCCACAAGATGCTCAATAACTCCTCCCCCATGTAACTTGACCGATCCATCATTAGTTACCTTGAAACGTTTCAAATGAAGAGTATTACATTTGTCGACTCCAAATGTCATGCCAATATGATTGGTAAAGGACTCGACAAGGAGAACCTGTTCTTTCAAATTGGTATCTCCTTTGGCAAGGAGCTCAATATCATCCATGTAAAGGAGATGAGTAAGCGGTGTTGGGGATCTGTGCTGAAGAGGACCGGAAAGGTACCCCTCCTCTCTATTGAGCAGAAAGCTCAAGAGATTTAAAGACAAACAAATATGCAAAGGACTGAAGGAGTCCCCCCTGAAATATTCCCCTTCTGATTGGAATAGATTCCGAAGTCTGCACCTGCCCTTGCGAGTACATCTCAAGTTGAGTCGACAAGCAACGCATTAAAGACTTGAGTAAATCAAGTAGTCGCTCAGGGAGGTCAATACAACACAGAGATGTCTTGTTTTGCCCAATCAACTACTCCAAAGGAATAGGAGAGGACTGGCACCGCAAAAGTATTGGTGGCTTTGACCTTGTTTCGAGCATTTAGCTCTGAGCTCCAGATTTTCTTTCAGCGAGATTTATACTCGCCCCGAAGTTTTTCTTGAATCTGGGCATTCTGGAGCTTGTCTCGAACTTGCATTCCAAGATAGGTGTAGGCCTGATCTTCCACAAGATGCTCAATAACTCCTCCCCCTTGTATTATAATTATTATTACTTCATCATCATCATCTTCATAATCAGTAGCAGCAGCATCACCCTTAAAAAAGTCAATTTGGAGTACACAGTACATAACTTACAAATTACTTTTTAAGCATGCCATTTAAAAGAATATACCCTGAACGTGTCTCATGTCTCATTCCTAAAATTAGGATTTATGCTGTTTGATTTA